TTCCTGCTCGTCTTCCTCAGCATTTCCTCCTCCAAACGCTCAATCAAACGACCTGTGACATACTTACGAGTGTAAAATGCAGTCAACGTTGCGTTCTTGTAATTGTGCCATGTCTGCCCTGACCCGCTCCTTTCTTGCTCTCTCGGGGTCAGGAAGTGGGCAAGAGGGGGCGGAGGTGTGGGTGAGTATAGCGTAGAGAGGAGGTGACGGAGGGAGGAGAGAAGGAGGAGTGGAGAGTTCACCCCCCCACTTGTTATCAGTTTGTTCCTCCTTCTTGGCCACACACTGACAGAGTCAAAGAGACGCGGAGAGAGTGAGACAGAGAAAGAGTGTATTCATGTGTGTGAGAGGAAGAGGACCTCACTGAACAACTGTACACATATTCATCAACATGACAAAGACCGGTCCTTTTGCATCCATGGACTACTCCCATATGTGGCTGCCAGGTATGTGTCTGGAGCATCTGGGGTGGTTGCCAGGTTGGTCTCTTTTTTTGAGTTTTATTGATGGATTCATTAGAAATGCAGGGATGTTTGAGGTCATTGGACCAAGAAGGTTAGTGTAGAGAAACTGAAAGAAAGAGCTATGCAAAGTTACAGAAAGGCTGAAATTCCAGAATATGCGTCATGAATTTCGGAGTGTCTATTTCTATAGAAATAGAGGGATTTGTTTTATGGTGCTTTGCAAGAGAATTCAGATTTCTGTGATTGTTTTTTTTTTTCCAAAGCTCTGAAACTTAAAAATATATATATTTTGTGTAAATTATTTATAAAAAAAAAATTAATTTAATGAGAAAATTCAGTTTATTTCATAAAAAACTGAAATATTAAACATGCCCAGATTCATGCTGTTCACGTTGTCAGGTGATGTTTGTACATTGCCGTTTTCACATTTACATTTATTCAAGCATCTTACAAATGGAATATGACAAGCCATACATCTTATGATTCATCTTTTCAGATGCCACCAAATTTTTGGGTTGAAATCTGGGCCAATGTAGGACATGTTCTCAGAGTTTAAGATCATTGTCCTGCTGAAGTTCAGCTCAGCAGACAGAGAGATATTTTCTTGCAGTATTTCCTTGCGTTTTGCAGCATCTGTTTTTCCTTGTACTTTGATAAGATGCCCAGTCTCTGCTGATGAAAAACAAATCCACAGCATGATGCTTCCAACACCTTCTTCACTATGAGGATGTTGGCTTTTGAAGTGCCAGTATTAAATTTGCACAACATATATACATTTTTACAAGTTTTGGCCACAATTCTTTTTGCACATCTTAGGAACATATTGCTTTTTTGGCAGACCAAGTTTATTATTATTATTATTATTATTATTATTATTATTATTATTCATGACTGTTTTGGAGTAGTGGCTTAAATCCTGCATTCTCAGCTACTGACCTCTGTGGCTTTTCTCACTAGACTCTTGCTGCCACAGTGAGGTTGTGAGCATGATGCTTCCAACACCTTCTTCACTATGAGGATGTTGGCTTTTGAAGTGCCAGTATTAAATTTGCACAACATATATACATTTTTACAAGTTTTGGCCACAATTCTTTTTGCACATCTTAGGAACATATTGCTTTTTTGGCAGACCAAGTTTATTATTATTATTATTATTATTATTATTATTATTATTATTATTATTATTCATGACTGTTTTGGAGTAGTGGCTTAAATCCTGCATTCTCAGCTACTGACCTCTGTGGCTTTTCTCACTAGACTCTTGCTGCCACAGTGAGGTTGTGAAGCTTAGGGGGCATTTTTTCTAGCCAATCTCATGTTCTCATTGTAGAATTTGTAATTTAGTAAATTGTGACTGCTCGTCAATGATCTGCTTTTTTTTTTTTTTAACTAAGCACTGTAAATGAACTGGTGGTTTTGTGATTTCTGTTGTGAAATCCTCAAAATAATTAACATTTCTCTGCATTAATTTCAAAGGCACAATCAATAACTACAGTAATTACTAGATGCCCAAAAGCTGTGTTTTTCTCTTCCTAAATTCAGAGAGCTCATCTAACTTTTAAGTGGTTAACAACAATGTCAATTTGTGGTATTATGTGCATAAAATCTTCAGGTTATTACACTAACATTACGTATATCTATGTTTTTGCGGTTTCATCAGGCAAATAAGCAATTTTTAGTACTCAGGAGGTAATGAAATTATATTTATTGACTGGAAGTGTATAAGCGAACCTCTGGGAAACCCAGTGTGAAGTTCTCCATGGGGTTTCCCCCTTCCTCAGCTCCCAATTGCAACTTTGACCTACAGCGCAGCTGTCTGCAGCTCAACAGATGGAACACAGTACAGGAACTCTTGCCTTTAATAATGAAAATTAGTATATTGTGGAGTATAATGTTCTTTGTTAGTACAGTTTGTGTTTGCTATGAGAAGGAGTAAGAATGCTTCCTTGAGGAGTGTTTCCTTCACTTTCTGTGAAGTTCCTAGCAGGTAGAAACCAGCAATAATATTCCTAAAGACAACTTGCATTATCATAACTGATTATCTGTCCTTTCAAACATTGTAAACGGGGAGAGAGGTTAGTAATCGGCAGTCAGAAGAAGTAAGTCTACTGGAACCCAGACACCCTTAGATGATGAATATGTGTTTAAATACAAACCAACTGAGCTGAGCAAATTGAGAAGTTAATTCATGCAGTGATGGATATGGTGATCTGAGATTGCCCTGATTATTGTTATACGAAAGCTCTTCATCTTTACACGTGGCATCGTGACGCAAAAATAAGTGACTGGTGACTGAGAATGAGTCGCACATGCAGGGATTCTGTATAGCTCAATAAACACTCAATAGTAGTTGAACGTCCTAGAAAAATGTAGCAGTAGAAAAAACGTATTTGCTAAACGCAAGCCACGTTTAAAAGAGGTTACATAGAACTGTCAAATTCGAAAATAAAGCAGAATTAGGGATTATGAGGTTAACAGAAATAAGAGAGGAAACAAATATTGCTGAAGGTGTGCAGGAAGTCTCTCTCCCTCAGAAATGTGGAGTAGTTTTTTTGTCAATTAATATTGCATTACAATAATTTAGCTTGGAAACCATTTCCAGTATGTGCAGGCGGTGTAAGCATATTTATTTCAGATTTTTAAAAAGAATGGAGATCTTTGTAATACAGAAGTTATGAAATGGAGAAGTTCGAAATATATAAGAAACAGAACTGTGCGTGTCAGCTACTGTATAAAGACTGTATATTATATAGCAGCACCTACATTTAAGCCTGCGCGTGTGTGTGTGTGTGTGTGTGTGTGTGTGTGCGTGTGTGTGTGTGAATGTGCGTAGTAATAGCTGGCCCGACAGTAAGGGTTTGGTTTAACACATTGTCTTTGGCCCAGCCTGAGGGGAAACAGAGAGGGAAGTGAGACATTAACACCACAACCATCAGACACTTTTTAATTTTAACTTCATATGAATGATGAACTGCATATTCACTTCATATAAAACCTTATGTTCTAGATTCCATAATGCGAAACTGTGGTGGATGTATATCAAATGAGTTATCATAGACTGCAAGGTGTCATGATTAATCCATGATTAAAAACACTTCTTTGACATTTTTGCTTCAAATTAATGATGCCTCTCTGATAACCTCAAGTCAGCTTATTTTATTCAGATGAATTATGACACCATACTCAAAACAGTCAGAACTTGTGTGTGACACAATCTGAAAATATTCTCAAACTTTCAGCCTGAGCTATCATAGCACCATTTTACCAGCAGGCCATTCTGTGGAAACCCTTATAGATACGGCCCATTGGCTGACGGGCCTCGAGAGGGGCTTTCCTTCCCTTTTACTTCCTTTCACCAATCACTGTCGCTGGACCCTGGATTTGATCGTCTGAGGAAGTCGGCAATTCTTCAGCTTTTTGGTGGCTTTTTCACGAGTGATTCAATTTAAACAAGTGAAGTTGGTTTCCTGTGTAACTTTCTCTGGGATTATTACAGTCACGTTTTTTTTAAAGTTGTACTGCCCCCTGGAGGAGTCAGATATTAAATATCAGTATCTGGTAAGGCTTCAATGTTTCATGTACTTGGCAAGAATTAAATATCGATGAAAATATTTGTGAAAGAGTGAGAAATGAAGGATGAGGCATGAGTGTTGAGGGGGAGATAGATAAAGAGGATCAGACGAGATAGTGGTATATGCAGGTGGGTGATATTATTAGTCAGTCGTTGGCTTTATTTGCATTTTTCACAAAAGGGAAGTGAGTGTGTTTCTCTGTGTGTGTGTGTGTGTGTGTGTGTTTATGAATGTCTGTTTGAGAGCTTTTTTGGATACAGAATTTATAACGCTGCTGATGCTGCTTATAACTCCTTTGTATTGTAAAAAGTGTCATACAGATAAACTGAACTGGCTTGAATTTGTCAGCGACATACACACATTCAGCTGTGTTCTGACTTATACATAAAATATATCTATGATTTACAGAATTCAGTTTAGACCAGAACATTATAAATCTTATTTCTAAAAAAAAAATGGTATTATGATTCTTTAAAGATATAAGATATTTCACACACACACATTTACTTTGCACGCTCTGTTTCTCACCGCTGAGGGACTGGGACAGTCCCATGGGCTCGGTTACAGTTAAATTTGAAGTGACATGACATGATGAAGTGACATCTGTGGTGACGTAACCATTATTAGTTGTTTGTTGGATTGAGCACGTCTCCAGTTGTGTGAGAATGGAGGAATCTAGACCTCTGTATTTTTAGAATCAAAAAGTGTGCATTTGTGTCCTTTTTATTCAAAATATAACATATTTGTGTTTGTTACTCTTCCATTCATCATCATCAAAACTATTTAATAATAATAATATATCTTACTATTCAACTGTGGTATATGATTGAACTGTTAAATCAGGGTACAGGGCTGCTAACTGTATGCAAACAGTAATTAATTTGAACAAAATATGTTAACAGAAATGCATCATCCTGTAGCAAAAGCTAATGACTGACCTCATATCCCTCTCTCTTTTTCACAGATATCAGAATGTCAAAGCCAATAGAGGTTGAGAATCCAGCGGCAGACTCACCGATGGAGAGCACAGGTATATAAAACTACATTATATTTACATTTTTTATAGGTCTGCAACAAGGATCAACAAAAAAGAATTTTCTGCTCAGATATTTACTTGACATAATAACATTTCCAGCATATTTTTATGTGTTAACAACATTCTGAAATTATGAAAATAATAAATCAATAATAAAGAATAAACAAAAGTAGTGCTGGGCAACGATTAACCGTGATTAATCGCATCCAAAATAAAAGTTTTTGTGTACATAATATATGTGTGTGTACTGTGTATATTTATTATGTATATATAAAGACACACACATGCATGTATATATTTAAGAAAAATATGTTATGTTTATATATATATTTATATATAATATAAATTATATGAATATAAATATATGCAAATATTTTTAAAAAATATGCTGTATGTGTGTGTCTTTATATATACATAATAAATATACACAGTACACACACATATATTATGTTTTCAATCAAAATTAATATAAATAAATAGCATGTCTTTTGCTATATTAAAGCTACTTTATATTTTTTACTAACTAAAAACCTTAACTAAAACCTAACTTATATTTTCAAAATTAACAGAAGTGTTGTTAATATCCTCTTAACTATACTAACTATCTTAACTAAAACCTAACTTCAATTTACAAAATTAACAGAAATGTTGTCTTCTCTCATTGTGTTTGTCAGCCTCCGAAAGAAATGGCTCAGATTCAAATAATCAGGTAAGTGACAGCCAGGTACCAGTATTATATTTCATCTGAAAACAGCATGATCAAAAATAATAAATCATATTTTCAATGCGTTTCCCTCCAACAGCTTCAGCCAATGAAAATCAGTCCTTTCTCTCTTTCTCCCACACTGAGCAGCAGCACCAAGGTGAGTGAATGTGTGTAAATGCATGTGACAGTTTGTGTTCTTTATTACTGTCAAGTGATTCACATACAGATCTGCACATATTTTTGTTGTTAGTTTCGGAGACCGTTTAAAAGTTAGTCTTTTACAGTTTTTACAGATTATAGCTTTTTTCCACCTCATGAGCTGCTAGTATTTTATTAACCTCATTTCAATACTCCCACTCACTGTGTCCCTTTCAGTAACACATTAATTCATCATTAGCGCTTCTCTGTCACTATGTCTCAGACTAAGGTGGAGGATTGTGGTGAGATGTCTCGCGCTGCTGTACAAACTCCACCTGCTCAGACGCCCCTTCCTCACACACAGCTGATGCTAACGGGTGGTCAGCTCGCAGGGGTGAGACAAACATGCCAATACATGCGTACATACACTCTTTATATGTGTTGCATACTGTATGTGTGTCTGTGTGGGTTCCTACATGAGCTTGCTTGCCTTAGATGTGCTTTCTTTTCTAACTCTTATTTTCGCCACACTCCTTCTCTGCCGCTCTTTCTCTCTCTAGTTGACTGCACTTTTGCCAGCACAGCAACAGCTGCTCTTACAGCAGGCGCAGCTCCTCGCTGCAGCTGTGCAGCAGTCGCATGTGGCCCACGCGGCCAATCAACAGCAAGCCCAGCAGCAGGCAGCTCAGCCGCAGTCACAGGGCCAATCGCAGAGCACACAGGAACAAAACGCCGCCCCTGTCCCGCCGCCTCCTCCTCACCAGCTTCCTCTTTCTCAGCCAATCCAGCTCACTGCGCAGGTACAGCTAGCCAGCGCTGGGCAGCACACCTGAAAATTGTTGATATTGTTCCAGAATCAGTGTTTTTCCTCTTTCAGTCCTTCATCAGAGTGAAACCGTCACATCCTTTCAGCATCTGTTTCTTTTCTCTCTTTCAGGACATTCAGCAGTTGTTGCAGCTGCAACAGTTAGTCCTCGTTCCTGGACACACTCTGCCTTCACCCGCACAGTTTCTTTTACCACAAACACAGCAAGGGCAGCAAGGTAGCTTATTTACTATTAGTATTCTCACACCGTGTCCTAAATAAGTTTCCAACATCAGATCACTAGTTTGCCAATCACAGTCAATCAGAATTAAAAATGTCGTTTAATATTAATTAAACAATTAAACATAGAGATTTGCAGTAATTTACACCTGTAAGAATTTATTATAACACTTTATTTTAAGGTGTCCATGTTACACGTTAAATGTACTTAGTATTATAACAATAAATTATGCATACTTACATGCAAGTAACCTTAAGCCAAACCTTAATCCTAGCCCTATAGTAAGTACATGTAGTTAATTAATATTACTCAGTACTCAAATGTATAATTACATTGTAATAGGGACACCTTAAAATAAATTGTAACCCAATTTATTGCTTATTATCACTTTATTACATTGTAATTTTTCAAGATGTAATAATTAGCTAAAAATGGTCTGATTTGATTTAATTGTAATGGTTGTGCATGTTTCAGGGCTGCTATCAACGCCAAATCTAATATCACTACCTCAGCAAAACCAAGGAAGCCTGCTGGCTGCTCCACACAGACTTAGTCTTCAAGCACAGGTACAACATCTGATAAAAGGCCACATATTTGGGAGTCTACTGTTCCCCAACAGGGGTAAACATATGCCAGAGGTTACTTAAAACAGTATCCAAGGTACTCACAACATAAGTGATTAATTAAATGTGTGAAATTTTCAGTTCCCTTTTTGAAAAAGGGAAACACAGTATTGTTTATGAACTTTGTAATTTTGTGTGTATGACAGCTGTAGTAAGACTGGGGTGAATAAGATGTTTTAACAGTAAAGACTGATAGATTGTTACAACAGATTTTCGTTTTAAATAAATGCTGTTCTGTTGAACTTTCTAGTCTTCAAAGAATGCTGAAAAAAGCATTACTTAAGCATAAGTAATAATAAATATTAATATGAACTGTTTTCAACATTGATTATAATAAGAAATGTTTCTTGAGCACCAAATCAACATATTAGAATGATTTCTGAATGATCATATGACATTGATGACTGGAGTAAAGGCTACTGAAAATTCAGCAGTTTCGTCATCACAGGAATAATTATGTTTTACAGTGTATTAAGATAGAAAACAGTTTCAAAATGTAATAGTATTTCACAATATTACTGTTTTTGTTGTATTTTAATCATATAAATGCAACCTCAGTGAGCATAGAATTTCTTTAAAAACAAAAAATGTTTGACAGTAGTGTGTGTACATTCTGTGCTATCATATTTGCATCTGACACTCACGTTCGAGTCTTGTATGTGTGTGTCTGGTTTGTGGCAGAGGGAGAAGGTTGCAGAGAGCAGCGTGAACACAGTGACTCCGGTGACCACTCATCCCGAAGAGCCCAGTGATCTGGAGGAACTGGAGCAATTTGCCCGCACATTCAAACAGAGAAGGATCAAACTGGGCTTCACACAGGTACACACACATAAACACACACACACACACACACACACTCAGAAGATTTGTATTTGCCTGTATAGTAATGCTTTGTCTCTGTTTCTCTCTACAGGGAGATGTGGGATTGGCCATGGGGAAGCTCTATGGGAACGATTTCAGTCAGACCACCATCTCTCGATTTGAGGCGCTCAATCTCAGCTTCAAGAACATGTGCAAACTTAAACCTCTGTTGGAGAAGTGGCTGACTGACGCAGGTAACCGTCACAAACAGCTGCATTAGACATTACAGCTGTCAATCAAACCTAGTGCTTAAAGGGACAGTCCACCCAATTCTGAACATTTTAATTTTGTTCCAAACCTGTATGACATTTTCTTCACAAAAGACATTTAGAAGAATGTTGGCAACCAAACAGTTTCAATTCCTATTGCATAGGAATTGTTCATACAACTAAGTTGCATTTTTTGTTCATACAATGGAAGCCAACATTCTTCAACATTCATCTTCCACAGAAGAAAGAATGTCATACAGGTTTGGAACGATATGAGCAGTGTTGGGGGTAACGCATTACAAGTAACGTGAGTTACGTAATCAGATTACTTTTTTCAAGTAACTAGTAAAGTAACGCATTACTTTTTAATTTACAAGAGAATATCTGAGTTACTTCTTCAAATAAGTAACGCAAGTTACTTTTTTTTTCCAATTTATTGATTGACAGCTCTCCTGTCCCCATGTTGAGAGATATCAGAAGATGTTACTGTAGTTCTAAAATAAATATGAATATGCATTAATTCATCTCACTCACACAAAAAAACACAGATTCAGTATTCCTCAAAATGAATAAAAATAATGCAACTCAGAATATGACGCAAACCTGCAATAATTAAATGTTAAACAACACAAATATCCTTTATGTATTTAATCCCATTCTATTAACCAATGTCTTTGCTTCTGACCTTCGATGATCCAGTTCAACCATACTAATCAGCAAAAATTACTCTAGACAAACATTTGCATGTCTTTTTTTATTGCTGACGTGTGTTGAAATGTCTTCTTCTGCATTCTACTGTACGGACGTAAATTTACTTTCCCTTCAGCCTGAGGCTTATTCATTTCACTTTTGGTGTGAAAAGGCTTTTATATTTGCCAAAATATAACTTTTTTATTTTAAAAACAAACAAGCAAGCCCTGTCCAGATTTAAAAAGTAATGCAAAAGTAACGTAACGCATTACTTTCCATAAAAAGTAACTAAGTAACGTAATTAGTTACTTTTTTATGGAGTAACGCAATATTGTAATGCATTACTTTTAAAAGTAACTTTCCCCAACACTGGATATGAGGGTGAATAAATGATCATTTTTTGGGTGAACTATCCCTTTAACTTCCAATCAATCTCAAAACCATGTTCATGTACATACATTAAAACTACAGTTTAAGTGGCATTCAGGCCACATCATTATAAAAAAAATTTAATGTAAAAAATGTGATATGGCAGTATATAAAACATTTTGTGCTTGATATAATAAGCATAAAATGTTTTTAATGGTTTACTTAGAAACAATGACGATGGACAGCATCTTGCCAAGTCCCAGTGCTCTTTCCTCTCCCTTGCTGGGGTTTGAGGGCCTGCCTGGCCGCCGTAGGAAGAAACGCACCAGCATTGAGACCAACATCCGCGTCGCTCTGGAACGCAGCTTCATCACGGTCAGAACACATGATCACTTGACACATGACCATTGCACGACATACATTACCGGTTAAAAGTTTGGGGTTGGATTTTATTTGTTTCCAAAAGAAGGCTGTTATGCTCACCAAGGATGCATTGGTTCGTTATAAATGCAGTATAAACAGTAATATTATTAAGTGTTATTACAATATAAAACAATACATTTTTATTTTAATATTTTCTAAAATGTAATTTATTCATGTGATAGTAAAGATTAACTTTTATTGGCCATTGCTCCAGTGATCAGTGTCACATGATTCTTCAGAAATCAATATGTTGATTTGGTGCTCAAGAAACATTTCTTATCACAGTTTAAATAGTTGTGCTGCTTAATATTTTTGTAGAAACTTTGAAGCATTTTTTCAGGATTCTTTGATTGATAGAAAGTTAAAAATAACAGCATTTTTAAAAAATACAAATCTTTTGTTACTGTCACTTTTTTATCCTTTTTTTCAGTTGAATGCATCCTTGCTGAATCATTTCTGTTAAGTTCTGACCCCAAACTTTGAAGTGGTAGTAGATAACTAAACGCTTCCGAAATTTATGTCCTTAAATAATCCTAAACCACAGTTCTGTTTTCGGCATTCAGAACCAGAAGCCTGCCTCAGAGGAGATCCTGCTCATCGCCGAAAAGCTCAATATGGAGAAGGAGGTGATCCGCGTCTGGTTCTGCAACCGCCGACAGAAAGAGAAACGTATTAACCCCTCCAGTGCCACCCCTCCCTTGCCCAGCCAACCCCAGCCCACCTTGCACAAACCCCTCTGCTACAGCCCGCACATGGTACGACCCGGCTTGCTCCCTTGGCCCATACCCCCGTCTCCAACCACCCTGTGCCACAACACTACTAGTTTCTCCTGCATGAGCATATGATAATAATCATTCCCATAATGGTGCATATATCATTCACTCCTGAATGTGGTTTCACCCACCCTGCATTGCTTTGCATTTTAATGTGTAATAATTCATATCTTCATAGCCAATATTTACAACTAGTTCACTGTCATTGACTACGTTTACATGGACATCAGTAATCGAATTATTTACCTTATTCTAAATAAGCCAATATTATGATTATGGTGTTTACATGAGTTGCTTTTAGAATATTCCTTTCATGTTCCTGTTTTACATGTTATAGTACATAGATCGATTAATGGCACACGTCATTATGTCCCCACGTGACGACATCCGACGTCCCCTCCGTAATTTCACGTATAAACATATAGTTCGTCTTCGTGATGATGCCATGTACAGGTTTGGGTGTTTCATTTTTAATTTTATGAAAGCTTCAAGTGCAGTTAATTATTTGAACGTGCATACAGACGATGACGGTGTGGAAGCTCTTTTATTTGCCGTCAAACGGTTGAACACTGCCGTGTGTGTATCCTGTCGCAAAGTGCGGCGAAAAGTCCTACACGACGGTAATAATGTGATTAAGGTGTACCATTGCACGACATACATTACCGGTTAAAAGTTTGGGGTTGGATTTTATTTGTTTCCAAAAGAAGGCTGTTATGCTCACCAAGGATGCATTGGTTCGTTATAAATGCAGTATAAACAGTAATATTATTAAGTGTTATTACAATATAAAACAATACATTTTTATTTTAATATTTTCTAAAATGTAATTTATTCATGTGATAGTAAAGATTAACTTTTATTGGCCATTGCTCCAGTGATCAGTGTCACATGATTCTTCAGAAATCAATATGTTGATTTGGTGCTCAAGAAACATTTCTTATCACAGTTTAAATAGTTGTGCTGCTTAATATTTTTGTAGAAACTTTGAAGCATTTTTTCAGGATTCTTTGATTGATAGAAAGTTAAAAATAACAGCATTTTTAAAAAATACAAATCTTTTGTTACTGTCACTTTTTTATCCTTTTTTTCAGTTGAATGCATCCTTGCTGAATCATTTCTGTTAAGTTCTGACCCCAAACTTTGAAGTGGTAGTAGATAACTAAACGCTTCCGAAATTTATGTCCTTAAATAATCCTAAACCACAGTTCTGTTTTCGGCATTCAGAACCAGAAGCCTGCCTCAGAGGAGATCCTGCTCATCGCCGAAAAGCTCAATATGGAGAAGGAGGTGATCCGCGTCTGGTTCTGCAACCGCCGACAGAAAGAGAAACGTATTAACCCCTCCAGTGCCACCCCTCCCTTGCCCAGCCAACCCCAGCCCACCTTGCACAAACCCCTCTGCTACAGCCCGCACATGGTACGACCCGGCTTGCTCCCTTGGCCCATACCCCCGTCTCCAACCACCCTGTGCCACAACACTACTAGTTTCTCCTGCATGAGCATATGATAATAATCATTCCCATAATGGTGCATATATCATTCACTCCTGAATGTGGTTTCACCCACCCTGCATTGCTTTGCATTTTAATGTGTAATAATTCATATCTTCATAGCCAATATTTACAACTAGTTCACTGTCATTGACTACGTTTACATGGACATCAGTAATCGAATTATTTACCTTATTCTAAATAAGCCAATATTATGATTATGGTGTTTACATGAGTTGCTTTTAGAATATTCCTTTCATGTTCCTGTTTTACATGTTATAGTACATAGATCGATTAATGGCACACGTCATTATGTCCCCACGTGACGACATCCGACGTCCCCTCCGTAATTTCACGTATAAACATATAGTTCGTCTTCGTGATGATGCCATGTACAGGTTTGGGTGTTTCATTTTTAATTTTATGAAAGCTTCATGTGCAGTTAATTATTTGAACGTGCATACAGACGATGACGGTGTGGAAGCTCTTTTATTTGCCGTCAAACGGTTGAACACTGCCGTGTGTGTATCCTGTCGCAAAGTGCGGCGAAAAGTCCTACACGACGGTAATAATGTGATTAAGGTGTGTACATGTCTTTAAATAGGAATTACTCCACATGTCTTAATTTGATTTCTATTTACTTCGATTATGACTTTAGCCAGATTAAGGTAATCAAAAATCTCTGTTTACATGGTAGATTCTTAAGCAGAGTATTGTCTTAATCGTATTAAAATATGAGTATTGTTGTCCATTTAAACGTACTCATTGTCATAATACTATAGGGCATTCAGCCTCTGTTTCTAATTCTTTAGGAGGAATATTGCATGATTTCACTTTCAAACTCAGTATTTTGGTAAATTCACAAACAGAGCACAAGCCTTCCACCAGCCTCTCTCCTTTCTCAACCTCCATTACTCTCTGTCCATCATGTTTCCCTTTTGACCTGTGACATCATATCCACGTCTTCCTTACAGATGACCAGTCAGGGACCATCGCAGACAGTGAGCAGTCTCGGTACAGCAGGTAGGGCACAGAAGTGGACATCTGCTGATCAGAGATACATATAATTATATTATATATATATATATATATATATATATACCCCTCCGACTCACAGTACACTAAGTCTGAACACAGGGTGAGTTGATTTCTCTCTCTCACACACACACGTACACGCACACACACACATGCACACATCCACTCAGCACATACTCATCACCTTTTACTCCCTGTGGCTCAGCAAATGTAGGTAACTGCAGTGTTTGTGTGTGTGTGCAAATGTATTTTTGTGTGTGTGGTTTTGTCATCCACAGTTCATGGCATAAAAAGAATGGTGACGTTTCTAACTACATCAATGACTTTGCTGCACATTTGAGGTGAATACAACCAGCAGAGTCTGTGTTCTTACACACACATATACACACATAAATATAAAATACACACACACACACACTTTCACATAAAAAAATATTTGTTATTGTCAAGTATAGGAAAATGTGAATTAGGAAAGGTGAATTCTGGTAAATTGACCTTGATATTGAGACAATTGTGTATGACAATGTAATATGTATATGCACATACATAATGTGTATGCGCAGTTGTATTATTATCAATTAAATACATTATTAATTATAATTAGTGTTATAGAACTTAATTTATTATAATTTGTAAAATATTATTTGCAAATATTAATTATAAATTATATATTTGTTTTGATACTACAAAAATATATATATTTAATTTTTTTATTTAAATTTTAGTTTTTTATTTATTTACATTTCTTATTTTTTAAGGGCTTCTTCTTTTTCTTTTTTACGATTTTGCATATTTGTTCAAAAGATTTGGTCAAATCGCACTACATCTTAGCATAAGGATTGTTACGTACTGATGCGTCACTGAGGTGTGCTGGTGTGTGGCCTGCATATAAGAAAAAACTTATTTACTCTGCAAAGACCTGTTTTCTTGCACTGTTTTTCAAGCTCTTAACTAGGGGTGTAAATCAGATGGTTCGTCACGATACGATATCGATTCTCATATTCAGCGATACGATATTTGCCGATACTTCAAAACATTCTACGATACGATTCAATACAGAAGAATATCGATAGATATATCAATATTATTATATTATATACCTATTTTAAACAACCATCTACATTTTTATTAACTCACAAATGCAACCAAAACATATAACATGAACATTTATCTTAAATTTTCACATCCTGTTCCTCAATTGGGACATTCACAAAAAGTCACACACAAGATCAGTAATCTTAAGATATGACAACAGTCAAGACAGGTTTCTGAAAGATTTGTCTTTCAGGTTTGTGGTAGGTGTAGACGTTAAAGGTGCAATAGGTGATTGTCTTCAGAATTTTTTTTGTATATCCTGGTTGAAATTCTCTTCACATCCCGATAGTAATCATTAAGTTAAGTGGTCCAAATGTATTTATCTGTATTTATATATTCTGTGGAAGGCGTAGGACCAAGAAATGTTCGTCCAATCAAAACGCTCGATCCGAGAGTTTTAATTCGCTTTCCTACCTGCCTGTCAACATATGTATCTGCATACCTCTGCGCACCCTGTTCGCGCAGACAGTTCACGCATGCTGTGCAGACAGAGCGAGAATGGCAGCCAAACATCAACAACCCGATCTTCCTTCCTGGTATTGTAGTACTTTTAAAGTCTTCGCACCGGTGAATGACACATGATGTAGCCCACCGGTTCCCAGTTCCAGTCCTCGTGCCCCCCGCTTTGCATATTTTGCATGTCTCGCTTAGTTAACACACCCGATTCAGATAACCAGCTCGTTAGAAGTGAGCTACGTGCATGAACTGTGTTCCGATCGATATGATCCCTACACAGTGTTCATTGCTCCCTACTCTCTGAGCAGGGGAAATCCATTTACGTTTACTTCACTTCGGAACATGGGCTGGAATTGGGAACCGCTTATGTAGCCTATTGTAGTCATGTTGTCTCTGGTATTCTGGTCTGCGAGCTTATATGCCTTCAGGGGCGTAGCTTTGGACGGCGATTGCAGGGAGGGTGGGATGTTCGCTTTCAGTGCTATCAGGCTAATGTTAGCATTTTCCAAGATCTCCTACTGCACCTTTAATAAACGATAATTTTACAGGTAGCATTTTTCGTTGGCGAATTGTACTACCCACTGTTTTAATGTGAGGTAGCAAAATCTGACAGGGTTGCACAAAACGACAGAACACAGGCAGAGGATTCTGCAGCCTTCCTCGAACAGTTATGTTCACGATTTCTGATTTACTTAATGTATACTGAGTGAGGGGGGCTGTGATTGGATGATGACAGGTATCGGTGATCATTCTCAAGTGATCAGCACTGCTGCTGTTTTATCAGTCAGTGGTTAGATCAGCGTAGCAGTTAAAAAATGGGACAAGGGAGGTCACGTACGGGACAAATCAATTAGGCCTAAAATAAGGGACGTCCCGGCTAATACGGGACAGTTGGCAACCCTAGTTACACCCCTACTCTTAACTATGCTTCTAAATGTTTTCTCTTTTTCCCTTCCTCTTCCCTGTATTTCTGTTTTCCGTTTCTGTCTGTGTGTTTTGTGGGTTGGTTATTTGTTTGTGTGACCCAGGAATACGATGAGGGGACTTAACACAGGAATGAGCCAAGCTCTTCTTGTCAGCAACCCACTTGCTACTATCCAAGGTTTGTGTGAAAGAGAGGGCGAGAGAGACACTAATGACTCTACCACCTCATATCAGTCATGTGTTACTGTGTCCTCTCTGTTTGAGTGTTTGTTTATGTCCTTCTACTCCTTTTCACCCCTTTTCACATCTGCTCATCAGTTCACATGCTAGTGTATCCTGTTTAATGCGTTACATGTCAGTTTTGTTGATGTTTGTGAGTAATACTGTGTTTCTTTCACAGCTCTAGCAGCCAGTGGTGGCCAGCTGCCCATTTCCAGTCTTGAGGGCAGCAGCAAGGTGTTAATTGGGGGTTCTGGAGGCCAAGGAGCAGGTCTCCCCTCTTCCCTCTTTCTCAACCACTCCTCTTTGTTGCCCATGGCAACAGGCACCGGCATGGGATTGGGCAGTTCAGTTCTTGCCAGAACCTCATTTCCTGTCACAGGCGGCATGAGTCCCTCCCCTTGCTCGAGCCCCATCTCTTCCTGCTCTTCCGGTGATTTGCTACACAGCCCACACTCGATTGGAGGGGCTAAAATCGAGTGACGTTGCCCAAGGCCAATCACAGGAGGAGGAGAAGGAGGAGATGAAACCTTACCTGTCAACCAAAGCATCTCTTGATCCCCTCGCTCCCTTTCGTTCCCTCTTGTTCACACTCTCTCTCTTCCGCTCTCCCGCTCTACTGATGCCAAAAATATACAGAGTAAAAGAGGGGAGAGATGGAGAGATGGAGTGGAAGCAGGAAGGAAGAGGAGAGGAGGGAAAACGAAACCAAAAAAACACCATGCGGCTTAGCTGGACGCAGCCAAATACATAAATAAAAGGAGAATAATAAACTATGTAGTGCAGTAAGAAGAGGACAAAGAGATCCTTGAGCACCAAAAACAACAAAGAGAACAAACTTTACTGTGTGTTAAAGAACGCTTTGAAGCATACATGTGGAGTACTGAATGCCAAAAAGTATAATGGAACTTTGAGAGTCTCACTATGACAAAAAAATACAAGCATACCAAAATCTCAAATACCAAAAACAAACACCAAAAATACGGATGGAAAAGCTTTATCCAAAGGACCTGTAAATAGCCAACCGTCCAGGACCAGACCCAGTGACAACAATCCAGCCATCTCTGAGCTCATCATCTTATCTGCCATGCAATCACATCATGTTTTTTATGATTTCATTTTAATCATGAACGAGCCAGACTCCCAACGCTGTTGTGTTTCTCTGGTTGTTCCTCATTCTTATCTGTTTTTTTTCTCAGAAGTAGCAGATTTGACCATCTGTCTTTAATGAATGTTTCAGTACATATGATCATCATCATCATTCCATGTCTTATCGAGCATATAGAGAGGATTGGGTGTTTGGTCTTTGATGGTCATCATATTAGCACTGCATAGCTTGATGCACTTGTTTGTCCGATGACATGAATGTCATATAGTGTAATAAAAGTGAGACCAAGCTCCTCTCTAGCTTTCACACCTCTAGTTAAGTGTAAATACTCTAATTTCTCTCTTAATAATTAAGTGCTTGTATCCTTCCTCATTCCATTTCATGCCTTCCTCACTCAATTTCTCCCTTTTGAATACCAAAGCGATCCATTCATACATGATCAGTTCATCGTTCACAAGATGCAGAAAGAGATCAGGGGCCCAAACCTTGACGAGGCCGCTCTGGTAAGACAGCATGGCAACATGGGAAACCATCACGGCGAAGGGGCTCCCATCCTCTCTGCTTCTTCTACAAGCCAAAAAATGGAGCAAAACTTCCCAGCCAGCCAAACTTCCCATAAAGGAAAACCAAAAACAAACCAAGCCAAAAATGGATGGAGGAGCAAAGTGAGTCGCTGTACAGAAAAAGAGTATCCCTTCATGCATCTCTGGACCGAGGTCACCCAGAACCATGTAGCAAGGGATCCGCCTCTGCCTCTGGTCATTCAAACTCTTCCTGGTCCTGGGTGGCGGGATCTTTGATGACCTCACTGGACTCATCTGAAGAAGATGTTTCGAGTTCATTTGGGGGTTGTTACTTTTGGTCTTTCGTTCCGTTTGTCTGTTTTGTGGGACTTTTCTTGGCTGTATGTGTAGATTTGTGTGCTTTCATTTGGGGAAAAGGTATTCACGTATTAGCGGAAATCTCATTTTTTACATTCCTTACTTGTTCCTATCTAGTTGTGTTAGAGACTCTAATCAGGTGGTTGAAACAATACTGTGAAAATTCAGTTCAACAGATAAGAAACCAGGATAAACACGCTCAAGTACATCCAAAGAACCAAAGTCGAGTATAAACAAGCTTTAAAGAGAACCAAATATCACATACACAACAATTTACATGCTCTCATCCACCTTACCGTTGTGTTTATATCGTGCTGAAATCTGTAGTCGGTGAGTGCTGCAGGTTCAACGAGGGATGGATACATGAACTCAGTTCTCTACGTTACGGTATAGTCCGAATGGGTCAGTTAGTGCTTCTATAGATTTTGTAGTAAATTATCTATGTTATAATGCTTACTAATTGCTAATGTATGGAAGAAAAACGTTGTGAAAAGATAAAAAAATGTTGATATTTACTTAGACCAAAAATTCACACTATCTCTCTTTTGAGTTTTTGTGTTTTCTTCCTCCCCCATTTTAAAATTTAGATTTTTTTTTAATCTCCTCTTGCTCGTTTGTGAATTTCTTAACAAAACTTTTTTTTAATTATGATTAATATTATTATTTATTTAATATATTCCAGATGCTGTTTTGTAGTGGGTGTGTTTGAGGCACCAGATTGTATTCAAATGTAAACTTCCTTTGCCAAGACGACCTTTCGAACCAAATCCATCGACAAATGCAGCCGTCGGTCCTAACGTGCCGGCCGTTAATCGACAGCGTAGGGGCGGACACTTGTCTTCTCGACCTCTTAGCTGTTCCTTACTGGACAGAGCCTGTGGGGGGGAAATCTATCAGGGGAAAAAGCAGCACTGTGTTTCTTCTGCTCAAATGTTTCGGTAGCATTCATTCAACGCTGAAGTAACCTTCCAGAGTAAAAGCACACACTGCCATGGCTTAGAAGGGATAAGGTCCTATAGGAAAGTGCATTGTATCCGTACGTACCTGTCTCACCACTGCTGATGTTAGGGATGGTGTTGCTATGGTTACTGTCGCGAAGGCTACCGCTTGTGACGGCGTCGAGCGCAGTGCTGCTGTGAGCCTTGACCTGAAAGCTTTAAACAGCTACAAAACCAAAAACTAGGAGAGGAAAGATGGAGGGATTTGGGGTTCCTGGATAGAAAATACAGCGGAATGTATGTATTGAATGATAGCGGAAATATATCAGTGCTCCATCTTCCTCTCTTTTTGCTCTCTGCCTCACTCCTCCTCCTCTTTGTCCTGTTTCTATTCCTGCTTTGTTTTGTATTTATTTTGTAGCTTGTCTGTTGTTCTGTCTCCTGGTTAGGGGGTGTAGAAGAGAGATAGTTCCTCATATACCTCACTCTCTTAACGACAAACCAAATATTTGAATGCTTTAAAACAGAGAAGTAGGGGCAGAGGAGAAGTGTTTTGATAGGCCAGGGAACATTAAGAAGATGAAAACACTCAAAGAACTTCACTGATGCTCTGGCACGTTCACTCCCTCAACCCTTGGGACCACTTTTACAGTCACCAAACACAGGGCAGGACACATACACACACATTTTCATATATGTACACACTTATTGTGCATGTGTATGTATATAAGTCAGAAAGGTGACTGAAGAGCGGGCGGCGACTGTTGTTGCTAGGTGACAAATTTTATGTCTTAAAACGCAAGAGATGTTGAAGAGGAATATAAGGGGAACCCGTTCAATCTTGCGTTATATTTTCTCTAGCTTTCCTTCTTGCCGTTACAATCAGGCGCAGTTCCGGCCGTCTTAAAAACTTCTCGGCGTTGATATGCAAGTAATAGCTGCAGCGTAAGGGAGCGTGTTCAAAGTGTGAGTCTCTCAGTGGAGTGAATCTCCAGAGAATGATACCAAAGCAACACGCCATTCTGAGACCGAACATAACACACACGCTCCCTAAAATCCTGTACACAATCCTCGAGTTTGATTCGCAGCGTTTTTCAATTTAACAATCGGATATGGGTGAAAATTCCCGAGAAAAGAAAAGAAAATCATGGCATTTGAAAACGCCTAAGAGAACTGCAAATATGAGTCTTTTTGTTCTCATTTTACTCTCTACTTGTTGTTTTACCTGCGCTCTCTCTCTATATATTATACATTAAAAAAAACAGCTTTAGTCCAAAGGTGTTTAAAAAGATTTTTAAAGAACTTAAACACGTCTAGTTAAACCAAAGAGCTCCACTAACACATCCTCAGCTGTTTTCTTTTGTCTCTTTTCCTGGTCACCTAGCAACCCAGTTTCTGAAGGTATAAACCTCAACTATCCAAAGTAACATACGATGAAGATAATGATGAAATGTATATTTTTAATTATTCATTATTTGGGGGGGGGGGGTCTTCATGGTGATGATGATGATCTTAAAGAAAAGACTTGGTATGTCTGTGATGAATTTTTATTTACGTTTTTGGGGGTTCGTGGTGTTATTCTGTCCCCTGCATCTTCTCCCTGATTTCATGTTCGCTGCTCACTCCGTGCGTAAATGAGAGCGCGTGGGTGCGTCATTGTCTGTGCGTACCTATGATCATGTGCGCGTGAACGTATTTTACACTCTAAAATCGGACAGATATGCGGTTATTTTGGCATATGTGCGTGAATGTGTGCGTCTGTTTTGCTTGTTGATGTACGTTATGTTTTTACCCTTTCCATCGTTCCTTTTTTCTCACTTGAGTTGAGCAGTTCCTTTTTCTTCTCTTCTGTCCTCTGTGTCTCTCTTTTTCTCCCTATGGTGACAGGTTAGCCTTTTGGTGTAATTATCTCTGAAACCAAAAAATAGTTGACAAATAACTCGCTTGTTCATTGTACAGTGTTGTTCATTTAAAGTCATTTTTGTAACTGAAAGTGTTTCACTCATCTGAATAAAAAACGGTAGAGAAAAAGAACAGTGCATGAAAATGTTGTCTTTTACTTGTGTTTATTAATCGCTGTGTGATCCAGTAACGCGGTCAGTCCGCGTTTGGCCGCTGGGTGGCAGCAGCAGCTACATGCTGTTCTCCTTCATATGAATGAATCATCCTCAAGAGCTTCTGCCTCCACATGGTGCCTCAACTTAGTCACCTTCTCTTCCCCTTGCTTGCTTCCTTCACTCTCTCTAGATCTATCCATTTCTCTTTTCTCCCTCTTTTTCCACTTTTCACAGCTCTCATTTGCTCATCTTGACTCATATAGGACATCTGGTCTTTGCCAGACAGCTCGTCCTTTACTCATGTTCTACTCCTCTCCAATTTAGACAATTAAAAATCTCACCTTTTTAAGATTGTTATGTCTTTACATCTGCTACTGGAAAAAAACAACATCAACCAAAGTTTAACTTTTGTTAGGAACAGAAAGTTGAGCTGATCCGTCCTTTCCACATTAAAACGCATGTAAGTAAAAAGTCAAATTAAGTAATGTACAAGTAGCCTATATGACAAATGTAAAAATGATTATTTTAATGAGTTCATAATGTCAGAGTATTTAAAGCAACTGTATGAAGTTTTGTGTCTTTTGAGACTGAGCTCTACAAGTAAGTGAGTGGAATTCTTTGTCGTAAATACATCACTCATAATTAAAGTGGATACCTGTGCTGCGTTCAGCCCCGACAAAAACGGTGAGAAACGGTGGTGTGTTGAACACATCTGTTCTGATGACGCAAGAGTTGCAACTATGGCAGCTGAGAAGCCCATTCTTTGTGTTCTTTTTGAAGAATTTTCGGAGCCTGATATAAATACGTGTTTAATACTGCAAAATATGCTCGATGGTGCAGTCACTGCCCTTGCCCTCCAGAATAAAAGAGAACATCCCAATCAAATGAAGGTATTTGTGGAAACTGTGGTTCCTAATTATTGTGATCCAACATTTGCCTTGCATTTCAGTTGAAGGATAATCCACTTCTTACCTCCAAGACTGTGTTATGATCTATATGACCTTATTATTTTTATTGTGATTATTAGGCTTATCATTATTTCTGAGGACTGTTGTCGTGCTATGATATTGTAATATTTACCATTATATAATCAGGTGGGTATAGAAAAGTTTATGAAAGTGTCACTCCATAATAAAATAGCAAAATATATATAAAT